TGTGTCATATCTAATGGATGTCAGTTATCAGTTATCTCCTGTTAATTCCCCTCTCCAAGTTCTCCACTGCCTTAGCCAGGTATTGAACTCACAACTCTTTGGGTTCTGTCACTGGATCTAACCAATGCCTTTATCCACTGTGCCATGTGTCCTTAATGAAGAAGGCCGGAGCATACAACGGCCAAAACGTTGTGATAAATATGGCAACAAAGATGAAGACAATAGTCCAAATAATGTAAATGGTGTACATAATACCTCATCTCAGAAATATAGACAGATACCAAATTAGATGCAATAGTTAATAAATAGAATACAAGGTAAATAATTCTGATTCCATGAAAATTGACTTATTTACCTTTAAAATCATTTTTAACCTTAAAATGTGTTTGACCTTTTTGTAACTCAATGTTCTTGTGTCGTAAATCGAAGAACTTTTGTTCAAAAGTAATGAAAAAGGTATTAATTTGTTTTAGTTCTTAAAAAAGTTGTTTGGCCCCTTACCTAAAAGTATGGAATAGATGTGATTTCATTCATTACCTGCCAGAATTGTTTCATGTAAGATAAATAAATTTGCCAAGTTTTTATTTTACTAACTTGTTCTAAATTACACACATTTAAATTGAAGGAGTGAAATCAAATTCAGAAAAATAATTTTAAAATATAAAGGATTATGTTTGTACAAAAAATAACAAAAACTTTTCTTCTAATAACTGATTTCTATGTTAATAGAATGGGTGTAAAGAAAAAAGTTGTTATCTCTTGTAAGTCTTTCTATCATAAAAGAATGGCTTCATACTTAAAGAACATTTGAAATTCTAAAATTTAAGATTTTTGAAAATATAATTATAATGTTGTTGTTAAGTTTTGATGTATACAAAGGATGAAAACAATCTGAGATGCTGTATGGCAAGGTGATATTTATCTTTCTGTAAGAGCTAATATTTAATAGAAATGAATTATAATCAATATAAATAATTTCTGATAGTTTCATCATAATTGATGAAGATTTAAAAATTTATGTTCATAGAGTATTATACATTTAGGATTTGTTCAGTTTGAAGAAATTGCATATTGCACATATGGTGCCATATGTCTTTGTGCAACTTAACTTAAACTTCAGCTTTTTCCAATAATGTCATCAGTTTATTTCAATATTTTGAACATCAAAGTCTTTTATGTTTTAGACTTGAAAAAAGAGTTATTTTTTAATTTAATTAAATGTTTTCATGAGCATTTGATATTTGTTGCCAAGAAAATGATTTATTCCAATATAAATGTCTAATTATTAGACATATATATATATTTTATATTGCTATAGGAATTCAAACTATTTAATTTAAAAATATAACTTTTTGATAACTTTTAAGTTTGATAATTTTGAAGGGGACCCAAAATTGATATTTATGTAGAGGTCCAGTTAGATTAACTGTAAGTTCCCTAATGAAATATAGGAGAAAATTTTAACAATCTCCAAAAATAAACTGATTCAATACATACATAGATTTTATAGTGGGTGGATAAGCCACCCACACTCACTAAATCTCCTCAGTGAGTGTGGGTGGCTTATCCACCCACTCCTGGTATTTCAACTCAACTTTCAACCAGGGGAATCAACTCCAAATTCGTTGTTTATGAAAAATGAAATTTTTGCTTTACAGCTTGCATTTTCTACTGTGTAGAACACAAGTCTATCATCATTGCCCCCTAAGTCTGGGTCACTTTTCCATTGTTCAAACTGCTTGACATACAATTTAAGTCATTTATGTGTGAATTAAATCCTCAATTCTTTCAATGGGTTTTTTTTATTGATCCTTCTCATTTCAATGTATCGCAGTAGATTTTTATTTATTTTTTTTTTATTTCTTATGTTTTAACAAAATTTTTCTGTTTTACCGCAGCACTGACAAATAGCATCACATTCCTCCCAAATCTCTCCTGTCATTTACTAGTAAATGACATCTCAAACCAAAATCTACTAGTATACTAATTGTTATGCATACTAAATCATGCAGTAGTAATAGAAAAAGAATAATTTTCATTCAACGTTTCTATATGTCATGCGATGTTTCTACTGGTCTTGTAACATTTTTATTTATCATGCAAAGTTTATCATACAAAGTTTGTTGTGTGGGTGTATGTCTGTGTGTTTTATAGTTTGGTACCATTCTTCTCTCCACGGTGGGGTGTTTTGGTTCTTTTTCAACAGGTATCAGTTCCATTTCAATAGGTACTGGCTCCATTTCTACTTCTGATGAATTTGATCCGGCTCCTTCCTCATTGATATTTGACCTGTTTGAGTAAAGATTACTGATCAGAATTCCTTTCTTGGGTTGTTGCATGCTCTCCAAAACATCATTAATCAATTTCTCTCTATAATAGTTTCCATATTGCAGCAATGATTAACATGGTGTCCATCGCAGCCGGCCAATTTATCATTATCCTTCTACTATTTGTCCAAACCATACTTCCTCTTCCCAAATCATTTAACCTGCCCTTTAATCATTTCATATTAATCCTTTTTATTGGCTTTAATAACTCTGGCATCTTTTCTAGTGTAACTTTAGAGAATTCGCTTATTACTGGCTCTCACAATATAGCTGTTTCCAATTCTAAGGAATATAATAGTCTCAGATACTTTCCTTTCCTGGGATAATTCTGCACTACTCTCAACCTGGCTGTACTTAGCCTTATTATCTCACTCTCCAATTTCTCTAATAGTAACTTGTATGGGTTCAAATCTATCACAAAGGTGACCAACCACTTTGACCTTGTTATTATCACTTCATTCATTTTCTTAAAAATTATATTTTGGCTGTGTCTCCAGGCTCCTGTCTTTATCATCATCATTGTTATCATCATCATCAGTAGTATCAGCCTCTCTCATACCAGCCAATCCTGCACGAGTAACAAGATTTCCTTGTTTTATTCCCTTAATCAGTCATTGTTTAATTCTTTATTAAATTATTCTGGGATACTCCCACTACTTCCTTCTCTTTAGTTTCCCATCTTCAACCTTCCCTTCTTTTCATCAGCCTTCAGCAGGTGGATTGCTTCAGACAGGTATGTGGTCCTTTCACCCCAGAAGTTGTGTCTCATCAATACCACTGCCTTCTGTGACGTACATTACACTCCTACCAACCCTACTGTTTGTTTCTGAATGGGGTTTTGAATGAGCCCAGCATTGTCACATGCTGACACTGAACCCATCTATCCCGTTATTCACAGTTATATTTTCTTATTGAGATTTGGGGTTCCCCATCCTTCTCAATCTCTTCTTAAGTGGTAACTCTGGCTCAACCTCTAATTTTCTTCCATCTTTTTTTTTATCGAGCTTTACTCTTTGTATAGTCCTCAGGGGAAAGACTCTTCCTACCTCTTCCCCTTTCTTTATTCTCACTGTCTTGCTTTACATGGTTTACCAACATTATGGGCACTATTTCTGCATCAACCACTGTCTCATTTTCCTCATGGCAATTTCCTCTACAGGAACTAATTGGATATCCCCTTCCTTTCTCTGTCACCAACCTACCCTTACCTTAAACTGCTGTCCTGTGGGTAGTATTATGTCTTCTTCCACCACTACTGTCATAGACCCTTTAATTGGGCCTACCAGTGGTGTCCTTATGCCATTTACCACTTGCAGTGAGGTTAGGTCCACATTCAAGGTCAATATCAACAGTGACATTAAGTTGGCGTTTATCCCATAACCAACCAGCAGTCTATATCTCATAATGCAATAAAGTAATTCTTTGATCAACCCCTTCGTTTGAGCAACGAAAAAAAAATTGCTACAGCCTTTTTCCTTTTAAAAAGTTCCAGAAAAAAGTTTTTACTTCAACAGACAGCTTCTAAAATCTGATTTTAATTTAACTTTCCTCATCAAGAAACAAATTATTTTTATATTTAAGTCAAAACCCAGGACTTTTTTCACAGGGGGGGGGGGGGCATTGTTTCACAACTTTTTCCTGAGTCTGCTCTCTACTTCTTTCTTCACTGAATTTTACCCTTTTGGATGGACCTCAATAGTAGATCCCTTCCTACATGTTCTAGACATGCATATGGTTGCAAGAAAGAAATACGACAACAGTAGAAATAGATTTACGTGGTTTATTTCAACAGGAATGTGAGAGTTTGGGACAGCTACCTTGTGGTAAAGTTCATAAGCCGGCTTTCGGATCTGGTCGATCTCTCATAGTAGTTCACACATGTTGATGGTGGTTGGTGCTCCCCTGCTGCTGATCGCTCGGCCTGACCGTCAGGTCTGTTCACTGGCCACCTGTTGACTGCCGGTTGAACTTCCGTGTGACCCCTTTTATAGCGTTTTTTTTATGGATTAACAGGCTCGAGAAACGAAGCGAGTATAATTAGGAGGGAAGCATTTTTATTGGACGAAAAATAGAGCACTTTGAATATTATTTTATTTTTCGACCGGAACACGTGCGTCGGGAAAATTTGTGAAGAAGGATAATGGTCATTTTGTGACGGGGCTTTGTCCCGTTTACATCCGGTTCTCGCTCTTGAGTATTTGCCTGTAAATCAGCCGAGATATGTCTTATTTTATTTTATAACATACGTCTTCCCCTTTTTCTTCTTTTTTTAATTGTTTTGTTAGCCTGATTAGCCAACATAACAGTTATTACAATTGCTGCATCCACTATGGACTCACACAAGGCCACTTTGACTTCTTTGAGGCTATATTTCTCTACTGGAGTCAGTTGAAAAACTTCTTCTCTTATTCCTTCCATTGACACCATCCTACTCTTACCCAATACAGCTGTCCTTGGTGGTAATTTTATGTCATCATCAACCACCAGTGACATTAACCTAACTGGGGTGCTCCCTAATGGCACCTCTGCACCATTGACAGTCAGCACGGAGGGATTAAGCTTCACTTTCGCCCCCCCCCTTCATGCAACCAATCTCCACCCAGGGAAACTGAAACTGTACCCACTGCAGTGTAAAATGCTACGTATACTGCTTCCCTGTCAGACAGCTCATATATGTGCTGTCCCTTTTTGATTGACGCTAAGCAAACCTTCCACTCTTTCGGGTCCCCCCCTGCCCCCTCATCCTCAATATCTACTACTTCAGCCCTCTTCGATCTGTGGTCACTCATGTCAAATAAATCAACTTAATCCGAGCAAAATCAAAAAATGAAAATGATTGAAAATATAGCAAATCATCACTTGTTGTCACTTGTTCCTGGGTTACTATCAATTTATCGAGAGTATAAAAAAAATTACAGAGTGTATTTTTAGAACTTTATGGTCAAAATGACCAGAGTCCGTTGGTTACCACTCCTTTTCTGTTGTCTGATTCCTTGGGTTGGTCGTAGTCAACCTAAGATCAGATCCACACCTAATTGTAGTCTTTTAGGGTCGATCCCAGCTCGCAGAGACTAAATACGGTTCTCAAGGTTAATCCTTGGTCATGGCCACCAAATGTAATTGTGTAACACCCTCCCCGGTCATCCAAGACTTCCAACACCATGGCTCATTGCTGAAGTGACTGCTTCAATTGAAAGCTAACCTTATCCGATGTTGTGATTTAAGTTGATCATAAAGCAGACAACATCAAATCGTCACAGGTATCTTTGTGTTGGGCTGGTCCAAGCAGGGCGAATATGTACAGCAAAGAAAGTGCTCAAATAAATTGAACAAAAGTAAATACGACTTTTATATCAGTCCTTTGTACAATAATTGGTTTATATTAGTGTTCACATGCAATTAATTATCAGCTGCACCTAAATTGGAAGTGATATTATTGTTGACCTAGTAAAATCTGGTGTGCTGTTGTTGGTAAGGTTTGGTACAAAGCTGAAGTTAGAGGCTTTCGTCAGCAGATAATCACATGGGCTCCTCTCCTGTCTCTGGTCTTGTCCCCATCTCTTCTGCCTCTCTTCTCTTTTCTGTGACTCATCTTCTGAATTCTCTTCACGCATTCGTATTTATTGACATTTACTCAAACTGGCAAAGAATTCAATAATTCTTGGAAATTCCCTTCTTCCACTCTTTCATATTATTACCTCTCACTAAATCTCCTCAGTGAGCGTGGGTGACTTATCCACCCACTCCTGGTATTTCGACTCAAATTTCAACCAGGGCAATCAACTCCAAATTTGTTGTTTACAAAAAATGAAATTTCCACTTTACAACTTGCATTTTCAGCTGCATAGAACAAATGTCAATCATCATTACCCACTAAGTCTGGGTTACGTTTCCATTGTTCAAACTGCTCGACATACAATTCAAGTGTGAATTAAATCCTCAATTCTTCCCACAGGTTTTTGGCATTAACCCTTCTTGTTTCAATGTCTCTCAGCACATAACACTTTCTTATGTTTTAACAAAACTTACTTCCATTTTACTGTGACACTGACAAATAGTATCACAGGCATCATAACTTGAAAATTTTTCAAGTGAAGGAAATTTTGAAGAGTGATACCACACAAAAATTTATGAACTTGCAGAAAAAGTAAAAGTAAATAAACTGTAAACTTTATCATTTACAACATTTAAAAAATCTAAAAGCTAAGATAATGAGTTGAGCTTGTGGAAACTGAAATTGGTCAGCATTTAAAGTTATAGAAAAGCCATTCATAAAAAGATAAACCAATATTTGTAAATGCAAATATTATGATTTGTTTTTCTTTCTTTTCTTATTCAATATAGAAAGTAACTTTTCAACAAAATAGTCATTGGTTATTTATATCTTAATCTTAACAATATAAGATACACAGATGTCACAGTGTTGAAGGCAGACTCTGAAAGAAAACTACAGGACCTCCTAGACAGGGTGGTAGAAGAAAGCAAGAAAGATTCCTTCTTAAGATAATTATTGATCAATCAAAAAGATGGAATTTGAAACCTGAGACAATTTTGAAAAATGGTTTATTGAGCAAGTCATTGCAGGTATAAAATAGGCTGTCAGCCTGCTTAGTCAATATTTGTCATGATTCCATCTGTGAGTAAGCATTTAAAAGATGTAGGTCAGCAAGTTGAGAAAAATTGTCACTAGATTTTGAGATATCTGTGACCTGCAAAGAACACTGGGACAACATACAAAAACAAATAATTTTGAATATGTTTATTTGAAAGAAACATACACACACAAGATCAAGTTTTCACTAAATATACAAAGATAACTCATTCTTTTCCGTTATAATTCTACAAAACAGTATCAACTTTTGAAAGTTTTCCACAACATTCATTCTACAACTCCTTCCATTCAACCTAAGGAGGCTTCCACTACTATATCAACTTACCAACCACTGAACAGCTCAATAAAAATTTATTGACTCAAAATTCTCTCTTCAATGGACTGGCTGAGAACTTTGTGAACTTTGCTGACTCTTTAAACTCTATACCAAGGACTTTTATAACTTCAGCTACTACTGTAAGTACCCATTTTCTACTGAACATTTTTCTCTACTTAGCTTACTTTCTTCACTCACAAGCATATTTTGAGCATCTCCCTGCATTCATTTTCATTTTTACATAAATTATTGTAAGTAAATTTTTCTTGATTCAATTCTACACTGAGTAAGAATTCACAATCATGATCTCAAATCCTCTAACCCATTATCCTGATGGAGCCCAACCAACGCTTGTTAAAACTCAGAATTTTCCTTCTCCTAGAGTATAGGACCCAGTCTGTCCTGCTATTTACCCATAGCTGGAGGGAGAAGAGATGGATTCATACCTTTCCCAAGGGTATTAGCTATATACATGAGTCTTGTGAACTTGAATGGAACTTGAACTTTGCTCTCTGATTCCTCCACTGTGCCTCTTCCTGAGTAAGGATTATGCACTTAAAGAATTGTTAATTGGTAGTTTTTTGTATATGGGGAAATTAAGAAACAATTTCTTTATATTTTAAAGGTTAATTATGATAAAAGCAAAAATTAAAACTTAAAAGTATTTGGAATTTAGAATTTTAACATTTAGATTTTAGTTTTTATTTCTACAAGTTTTAATGTTTATTTTTAAATGAATCTGCATAAATACTGTTTGTAGTGTGATCATGCAATTTGGTTACTTTTAGCTAATATAATTTTTTGAAATTAAAAAGAATTATAATGTTCTTGAACCTTCGCATTGTACTAATAAACGACCCTTTAATATATAATTTTGTTTCGTTTCGCAACACTCTATTTCGTTTCGCTTTTTGAAATGCGTTTTTAAATGATTCAATTTTTGCTTTTACTTAGTTTCAACATGGTGCTTTAATGGAATTCGGTGTCTGCCCTCTGTTGTTCTCTCGTCGCCTGCTTTCCGTTTTTTATTGGACGGAAAAGAGGTGGCTGACCACATCATCAGGAAATAAAGCAGTAACTATCTATCTTTATATTTTTATTAAAACTGTTTTTAAAAATTAGCAATTGCTTTTCGCAAATTGTTAAAATTTATCATTTGTTTTTTTAATTTATAAATAAAATTTATTTATAAATGATCAAATTCTACCTACACATTGAATCGTTCCATTTGTTTTTACTTTTAGTTTTAAAAATTTCATCATTCCGTTTTATGTTGGTAAATTCAATAAATAAAGAGAACCTACTTTCATTTGGTGAATGAACAACAAATTACTTAAACAGTCCATCTTAATTTTAAAAATAAGACAGAATACTGTAACATACTATAAAAATTACTTTTTACAAATAATAATGATGATAAATTGTTTACGCTTACAGTGAATAATAATGTCTAAATTCAATAAATTCTTATCGATAGAAACTGGACGTGTAGTCCTTCATGAACTTTTCGACATGCTGTGCTGCATGCATGTTGCAGTAATTTTAATGTTCTTAATTGCCTTCACTGGTATAAGATAATATGATTTATTTACTTACACTAAGTACAACCCATTACATATTTCTTAATTTCTAATTCATCTGTAGTTTTTGTTGGAAGGACGATTGATAAGTAGAAGGTATCAAAAGACATGGAAATCAAAGAGTTTCTTCCCTTTATTTCGTGAATTGAAACGAAAAAGTACCTCAAGTCCTGGAAAAATGTTAGGAAAGGTATTTTATTTTCTATTGCCTTAGGTAGGTACTTCCGAAGAAACGCGATAAGTTTATAAAAAACTTTCTTGAAGTTTTTAATTTAGTTTTAATTTCAAGCCAATAGATTAAATTTAATATTTCCAATAAGTAAAAAATACTTTGTTGTATTCAAAAACATATTTTTAAATTGACTGGAAGGAGTTTTATTTTATTTTTTTTTTTTTTAATCGTTAATTTTATATTTGTAGCCATCTGTCAGCACTATGAAATTGTCTTTATTAAAAATCTTTCAAAAATAAATATATTTTTCTGAAACTTTATTTGTGGAATTGTAGCTGATTTAAACTTTAATTAACCTGATTTGAAACAAATATTACTTTTAGTTTAGTTCACTTTAGAGAATATCGCATAAATGCATTTTTTTAACCTGACAGTAGGTGTTTATTTAAGGTGTTGAAAGCTTTGACAGTTTGGCAGCTTTACTGACAACTGGAAATTTCAACTAATTTTTTCTACAGGGGACATAAAAATTAGTTGATGTATATAACGTCAGTCCTTTTTTATATAAATTTTCAACTGCACAGTAATCTAAAAAATTTAGGAAAAAATTCTCCGTAAATTAAGGTTCTATTGAATTTTAGGTAGTTACTATAGTTACAGCTCTAATTTTCTGATAATGTCTTGTATGGACGTCTATTTACAAAAATTTGGCACGTTTATATATACACACAAAAGAAAAATTCTTTTTAAAATACTTGGGTTGCTGAATTGTAGTAAGCTTTTCAATTTATGATTAGTAAATATAGTTTTTACTTAATACTGTCTAACCTGTACAAATTAATTCAAAATTTTAAAAGATTAAAAAGTTTATAAATTATTCTAAGTAAAATTTAAAAAAATGAAAACCATTCTTGTAAAAATTCATTATTCATCTAAAATTTTTTTCTTAAGTCAGTAGTGTCCATAATATATCTTATTCATAAAAGCTTTTATAATTAATGTTTTTCATTTTTTATTGCATAATTCAGAGCAGGTTTTTGGTAACTGATTGATTGATGATTTAAGTTTGCATATAACTAATATTGTAGTGACTGCTATGTTTTTCCATGCCCACATTTTATTTGTCTGCAATCATTTACTTGCTTGCTAGATAGAATAGTTACATGAAATCTTATTCTAATTTTCTTGTTTTTCAATATTTACAGAAAAAGTCGGTGAAGATTCCAGAATCCGAAGCCCCTAAAAATGTTACCTGTGACTGGATTGGTCCAGTGGACAAACAGTCCAACTTGCGTCCAGTTCATTTTTACATACCCCCTGATGAGACGCAAGCAGAGAAAAACCTGAGGTTAAAGAGAAAAGCATTACAAGATTTTAACCAACATTTTTGGTCAAGGCAGAATATCATGTTTTATAAGGTAGGCAACATTTACTAGTATTTCTGATCTAATTATTAACTAACTATTCTTCATATAAATTGAAATGGAGATGATTTGATTGACACAACAATTTTATTGAAGCTATTTCAATGGATATAGTTTCTGAATTGTTTTTAAATGTCATTCTCAGATGTGTGTTGCATCTAGAAGCCTTTAGGGAATTTCAAGTAGACTCTTTTAATTCACTTTTATTTTATATTGATCTTGTTTTAGTATAATATTCTTCTTAGGGATTGCACACTCAACTCCTCTTTTGTCTAACTGCAAATCTTATGGGACTATACCAATCTGGTTTGTATCTGTAGTAATATATCTGTATTAATCTGCTTCACATTACTCACTGCCAAGTCTTTATCCATGAACCTCACAGCTGGCTCATTCAAATATATTCTTCACTGTGTGTAATCCTTGTTTTCTCCCAAAGAAAAAAATTGCTGGCTTTTATGTGTGCCTCAGTCAGTTATGCAGATTTTTTTCATGCCTACCTACAGGCATTTAATTAACCCCAAAGCACTAGGTAATTTACATGACTGTGTATGGCACAGGTGATGTTCTGCCTCTTTTGTCAGGGAGGTAGGCTATGTCCATTATGGTGTCTTCCTTGCCATTTAAGAAGTACAATTCAGTGAACTACCCAACTTAGGGATTAAAACAAATTGATAACAAAATATATATGTCTTTATTTAATAAGGCACAACAGGGTTGTATTTCAGGAGTCTTAGGCCTGTTATATCCAAAATCTTGTTTTTTTTTTTTGTTTTTTTTTAATATTTATGTATTGTTGTTCTAGCTCCTGTATAGTACTCATTTTTACACTGAGATTGCTGATAGGATAAATTAATACTACTATTATGAAATAGATTTAAATGTAAGACATAAGCTGAATTCATCACTGAATTGTGTAACAAAGATTCACGCTGCATTTGTAATATTAAATTTTGTCCTAATAAGAGTGCAAAAAAAAAAACGACAAAAAAGTATTCACTTGTTACATAGATTTGGACATGAAACATTGCAAAAATAAGCAGCAAAAACGAGGTTATTAGTTCATATAATGAAATAATAATTGTACTTCAATCTAGAATGTCAGAATACACCAACTGCACCTCTGCAGAGGGGGTAAGACCCCTACCCCACAATGAAGTGTCCTGGGTATAATGATAAACTACATCTGGCAGCAAGGCCACTGATCAGGAGGTTTTGAGGAGTGTGGACCTATCTCTTAATTGCTGGTGTTCCCAGGTCCATCCTGACCCAGGGTGGTAGCACTTGTTAGAGTCCCAGATACCAGCAATGTATTTTTGAATAAAAAAAAAAATATTACCAACAATAAAAATCTTGTCAGCATTGCGGTTGATATGCCATAAAACAAACCAAACCAAGCCAGAATGTCAGACATAACTTGTAGGTAATCATTATTTGAAATTGGAAACCAGAATATTCAAAGGTTAACTGGAATAAAATGAAAATTAACCACTACTAGTTTTTATCAATTAAATATAATTTGCTTACAAGCAGGTTTGAGTTATGTTTGTGTATGAAAAAATAAAATAAAAATAATTTATCCACAAAAAAATGGAAGTGTATATGGCCCCCATAGGTACAGATTGGCCATAAAATCATGAACCTAATAGCTGGTTCTAAATCTTCAGTATAATTAGGTACCTCCACGAGATTGCTAAAAAAAGAGGATAGCATGATTAAAAAGATGCCAAACTTGACGAAAACAAAATTTTATTGTCTAAATGTTATTATTAAAACTTATTTTAAGAAAATCAGAAATTATAATGTTTATTTAAAATATTTTGAACCAAGCTTAACTTAGCTTCTGCACCGAAAAGATGTAATTTGAAAATAAAACATCTCTTGACAGGTGATGAATGACATATTGACGGATTCCGTGAGGCTAATTTGTTCTACGGAAGGAGAAAAGTGAAATAATTTACCTTTAAGTGAACAAATTATTTACCTCGTTATTTTTAAGGAAAACTTTCAGTGCTCTAATTTTTTTTTGTACTTAGCTTTCACCTTTACGTTTACGATGCTTTATGGAAAATATGTTATAAAGAAATTAAAATAAGACTGTTAAGAGTGAGATTAAATTTCATATTTCATAAGAAAGGTATCTAATTAATTTATAGGTACCTTTCTTATGAAATTAATTTTATGTACATTTATTACATTTTACTGTGTTATTTGTATTTCCATTCATTTTATTATTAATTTTGATATTTCATTTATGGAAAAATATCATAACTGAGATTAATATAAAAATAAGATCATATAAATTTCATAAGATGATACTGATACTTGTAGGTACCCTTCACAGTTGAAATTGAAAAAATCAAATTAACTTCTCCACATGTGTTTCGCAAAAGTAAAGGCCTTAACAGTGGAGAACAATGCTTAACTCAAATAACGCAACTTAATTGTATTCTGGTTGGTCTTCCGTACTTTATAATTACAGCCTGATTATAAACACAGAATTACATTTCTTAATTACTGTGGATCTTCTGATTAGTCAAAATGATACAATTTAAAACGTGTTAAAAAAAGATCTATCTCATAAGGACACTTAGGAAACCCGATGCGGCTTTTAACTAATTTTATAATATTTTAACAAATGTAAAAATCTATTATAATTAAGAAATAACAAATAATTGTATTAAAAATTCATTTTTCATTGAAAAAAGTTTTTGCTTTCAGAAAATATTGTCCATATTCATAAAAACAACTAAAAGCAAATAAAAGCATTTGAAATTAAATAATATCTTTGCTTTATTGAGTTTTGTATGTTACAATTCAGAACTGATTTTCACGTAGGGGGTTCCAATTAAAAACAAAAAAAAACATGATTTGCATTCCTCAAAGCCTTGTGCTTTTAACTATTGTAATCACTAAACCTGATGCGATCGAATTTCTAGCGTTTTCATAAAATTAGTTATGGGGGGGTAATAAATATAAAAAAAAATATTTCTGCCATGACTTTAATAAAAAAAACATATTTATAATAATTTCGATCATCTGTGAATAGTTCCTGAAAGTTTCATTAATGTCTGACAATTATTTTTATTTTTTGCAAGATTTTCCAAATTAATGTGTGTCATACCAAAAAAACGTGCTAAAAATTGTCTGTTATTTTACTAGTTCCAGTGATACAAAGAGAAACAAGGTTTTTTAATCAAAATTTAGAATGTTCTAAAAAGAAGGAAAAATTTTTAAAAATAATTAAAAAAAAACTTTGGTCTTTTCTCTTAATAATAGCATAAGCATTTAGACCATAAAATTTTGTTTTCGGCAAGGGTGGTGTCTTTTTCATCAAGCTATGTTCTTTTTTTAGCGATTTCGTGGAGGTACCTAATTATAATTGATGCATTTCTACAATAACACTTAGCATTGTAAAACAAATTTTAATTTTTTAAAAAAAATTGATGGTCAAGTATAGGCAGAAGTTACTCTGTTTAAAATATTTGGAGATATTTTTCTTGATAAAAACCCATTATTTCTCAGTTGGTCAATGTTCTTAGTAAATATAAATACCCAAATTAATGACAGGGAATTTGTGACTCCATTAATGAAACTTTGGATGTTATGAAGATGTTAATTTAAAATATTACTGTTGTCACTTGCATTATTTACATTACCTGGACTGTTATTCTCATCTTCATTGCCATATTCACTATGTTCCAGTCATTGTACGCTCCGTCCTGGAATTTCAAACGGAAGCCTTTATTTTATCCACTGGGGTAGATTGTTCTAGTTCCACATGGCCCAGTGGATAAAGATGTTGGTTAGATCCAGTGACTAAACCCAAAAGAATTGTGAGTTCAATACCAGGCCACAGCAGTGATGAACCAAAACTTGGAGATTTGAGTTTAAGGGAAATAACTGAAACGTCTGGAAGTGGCATGGCTCATGGAACTAGAACAACTACCGTGGTGGATAAAATAAAGGGTTTGGTTTGAAATTCCAATCACCTCCATAAGAAGGCCGGAGCACGAATATGGCAATGAAGATGAGGTCAACAGTCCGAGTAATGTAAATAATGCAAGTAATTATAATACCTCATGTCAGAGATATAGACAGATTACTGTTGTCACTAACCGATCCATTTGCACATTTATTTCTAAACAATAAAAAAGCAAGCAAAATATTTTAGAAAGAAGTCATTTTTAGTGTATGTTAATATCAAATCATATAAAACATTTTGGATGAAGTAAGAATTTTCCTGTAAATGTTCTTTAGTGTTACTCTGACAAATTAACATACAATTTATTTACTTTGAAGCCTTCCTAAATTTATCTAAGTCTGTATCATTTTTTTTACTTTACATTCTTCTTGGTGTACAAAAATTGTCTTAACCTTATTTTCATATTACAGAAAAAATCTGAGTTTATACAAGCAGAACTTGATAAACGAAGACTTCTTTCACCTGGGTTGAAAAAGCAAACACTTTCTCCTGAAGAGATGGCAGTGTTTTATAAGCAGTTCCTGCAGGAAAATTACCAAAATAATCTTAAATATCATAGGTAAGGATTTATGTTCTATAATGTGATATTAATGTTGATGTACTTTTTGGGATTTATCAAATTTGTCTATGTACTGCTTTAAGCAGTACAGAGGCAAAAATGATTATTAAAATGAAATTTTTTTTCAAACCTGATTTCATGTTTTTCATATGTAATTATGAAAAACTAATTTTATAAAAAAATGAATATGATTTTATAATTTTTTAATGATGTCATGATGTTGGATTAAGAGGTAATTGATTTAGATATAAGTGAATGATTTATACCAAAGTGAACACTACCACTTGAAGATTGTAAATAAGTCAAAATTACTTTGGTAAATAAGTAGGATGAAAACATCAAGATATATTTTATTGCTTGAAATGTTCAATCTCTGCTGCCATCCACCTCTAATGTGGCTCAACATAATAAAATTGGGGATGTTGCTTTTGGAGTGACCCTCAATATAAAATGGAGATATTTGTGTTTGGAAAGTGTAACATTGAAAATCAATGGAAGCTTGGTTTTCTCTCTCATTTACAAACAATTTACAAAAATTTAATTAATTATAGAAATTTAATTAAACTTTCTGTACATATGCCTGCAAAACAAAACTGCTCTCTTTTAATCATCTGAGAGAACCCTTTTACCTTCTATCAACATGGCTTCCATTAACTCTCCAGGAAAGTGACTCATTGGCTAACATTTTCTGCTGACATGAAGTGAAAAGATTATATTGAATCAATTGCTAGGTCTGCTGCTAGGAAAGTTGATTCACAATGTCATACTAGACTGTTTTTCTTGATAGAATCAATCTTGCACATTTATTTGTTCATGCATTGAATATTGCTGCCACATTTGATTTGGTGCTTCTGCTATGTATTTAGAGATTCTTGATAAGATACAAAGAGGAATCTGCAATGATATTGGTCCTGACCTGGTATCTTGATTTCAGTCACTTCTCCACTCTTGTAAGATAGCGACACTGTACCTTTACTATAAATAATTTCATGGTAATTGTTCTGATGAACTTTCCTCTGTGGTATCTAGACTTTATAAATTTAAATGTAATACTAGATTGGCAGCAAGGTCCTATGAATATGCATTTGAAATGACTAGATGCCGCCATAAGTTTTATGCTAATAGTTTCTTCTGTTGAACTTCTTGCTTGTGGAACTCTCTTCTGCATTCTTGCTTCCCAGTCAACTTTGATCTTCAAAAATTTAAATGCAATGTCAATCGTTATTTTCTGTCTTAATTCCTGTTGTTTTTTCATTGCTCTCTCTCTCTCCTTAACATTTTCTTTTTCTCATATTCTCTAACACTTAGTAAACCCTTGCATCTTAGTGGCTTTATTGCCTTTGCTGGAGTGAAATGATTAAACAAATATTACATTGATGACTGAACTTATTAAAAACTTTCTTCTAAAAAATGAATCAAAATATTTTCTTTAATGTATATATTCCCACCTTATGAAAATTCTATTCATTCATGAATAAGTTTTACAAGATTAAAAAATTAAATCTGCTGTAAAATTGAAATCAGTTTTATTTTTTTATGAAAAGAAACCCATTTGGTTTGACATTATACCTTAAATTATAAATTTTAAAACTGGATGAAGCAGTAAAAGTATTACTTGGTTTGAAAACATTTTAGTTTTATTTGTTAAATTGTGGATTTATTGTATATGAAAAGAAAAACATTATTTTAAATATTTAAATTAAAAAAAATTTATTAAAACTATCATATCTTTTTGTATATAATCAAAAAGTGATAGAATAATGAAGAAATAAAGGAATTCATTAATAATTTTTGGTCACTAATTTTCATAGATTTTGTTGTTAAGAAGAATATAGAAATTTAGCATGTATGTAGGCTCTGTCTGCAATAAACAACTGTTACATATTCCCAGTTTGTTAGTCTGATAGATCTTGTTTGTTTAATGGCATATCAACATATTATGGGTCATTTAATACCAAAATTTAATTTTCTTGGGTGGGTTGCATTAGTAATTTCTTTTACAAAAATGTATTTCTGGTACTATCTTTGTTTTATAAAAATGCATTGCTGGTAATTTTTTTTTTTTTTTACCAAAATATATTGCAGGTAATTCCTTTGCTATGAAAATGAATTGCTGGCACTTCTACTACAAAAATGTAATTTTATACATTCATAGTGATTTGACCCCAGTTTGGGTTGTTAACTATTTGTCCATAGCTGGGACCCTAACATGTGCTAGCACCCTGTGTCAGGGTGGATCTAGGAACAACAACAATTAAGAGGTGGATCCATGCTCCTCAAAAGCTCCTGATCAGAGGCCTTGATGCCGGATATAGTCTATTGTCATACCCAGGACAGCCAGACAGTTTTGGCTTACTTTAATTTTTTATTCAATGAAACTATTTTAGATATTTTAACAGAAAATTTTCTGAATATTGGAAATAATTTATAAAATCAGAGGTAGTTTATTATTATTATTATGTTTTCTTCAACTGAAGGAAGTTTTTAAGATCAAGTAAATATTTTTCAAAAAATAATTTCCACTGTTATCATTTGGTTAAGATGTTCTTTTCCTTATGGGTGACACTATTTTCAGAATTAATTTTGAGAAAGCAGTTTTTTATCATTAAAATAATGATGATGATTTTAATTGTCTCTTTTTTATGGTATAAAAAATTAATATGATAGTCAAAATTTTTCATTCTCTTTCATAACTTTAAAAGGATTATGATTGTTGATAAAAATATAGTACTCTACTCCCTTTACCTGAAAGGAATATATTCTGAAAATATACCAAACCTCATACAAACTATATCTTTTCCTATAAAAATTATGAATTATTTTAAGGATTGACAGCAGGTAAAGCAAAATCACAGATAAGGAGAGAGAGAGAGAGAGGACCAGTGATAATCTAATTAATAGCCTCAAGTAATTTACTGGTTCAAGCCATTTTGGATAATAATTTGATGGCGACATCATTTATATGATCTAACAAAACCATAACTCTCAAAGTATTTTCAATTTTAAGTCTGGAATGGGGAAATGTCATTTCATTTGTCATCACCTACCACATGTGCAATCACACAACCAGCTTATTGATAATATAAAATGTGTCTTGGATTATCCACTTTGACCTTTCAGTTATGTCAAGAGCTGAAAGACTTGTAAACATTCTTCATTGGATTTTTAAGCAAAATGTTGAGAATATTCTTTTTACAGTTCAGTTAAGCAAACATGAACTATTTTTCATTTATTATTTGGAAAGAGTTATGTTTTAAATATATGTTGTTTTCCTTGTTGATAAATATGGAGTAATTGCAATAAATTGTAATAGAATATTTTTTTACACCAAACTTTATGCTGTCTATGAGAAATTTCATTAACTTTCCAAATTTTGCCTGGACATTTACACAGCTTTGCCTTGATGTTCATAACACAACATTTTGGTCAATCCATTTTTGATCATTAATGCATGTGTTATTCTCATTGTCAAAAAAAAAAAATGTTTCCTCTTATTGATTATATACCTGACTATGGCTGAATATAAAAAAGTGCTTTTTGTCTGAACAAGATTTATAAAGTTTATGCTCTTCAATTAAAATAAAATTAAAACTTCACAAAAAAATTTTAAATTATTTCATGTTTTTTTTTTCCTTCCCTTCTGTAACAAATCTGTATGAATGTTGTGTTGGAGCTTGGTTCATTGACAGAGTGCAGCTTCTTGTAGTTGGGGCTTAAAAATTACCCTTTGGCCAGATTGTTACCCACGAGTGAAGAACAAAACAATTTCTAGCAGTAAACCAGATTTTATTCTTAGGTAGTAACTTACTGCTGTAAGTGAGTGAAGTAGAGATTAGGCATAAATAAGTGCATAGTTTAGCAAATAGTCAGTTTTATAGACAACAATTTTTTTTGTCCTGTCATCTTCTAAAAAAGTAATTAATCATCCTTCTGTCACTTTCTCTCAGTCTAAGTCTCTTGCTTTTGTAACTTGTAGTCGACTCCAATTACTGATAATCATGGTTGAAAGTAAATGTTCTGTATTGAGTTGTTTTAAATTTAACATAACCTCAGCCTGACTCTTATTGCTACATGAAGTCATGTAAATAAAATTCAGATGTTTTCCAATAATGACAAGATTTACTGAGTGTAATGCTTTTTTATTTAATTGAGCACTATTTAATTTAACTAATCTACAAAATAAAATTTTTAGTTTTTTTGATAAAATATTTTATATAAAGTTTGAATGTCTTTTAATAAACTATGAATGAAGATTTTTTTAACTAATGCAAAATGATTCCAATTTTAACATTTTTGTTTTTGCATTTGTTGTCTCCACTTATTTTCTCTCCTTTTCTTTGTCTTTTTTTCATAAAAATACATATATTGACAATGCATGTTTGAATATATAAAAAGTTTCTCCAACTGTTACTTTATATGTCTCTTTATGCTTAGCATTTGCAATGAATACTTTTTATATGACAACAAAATCCATTCATTACAAAAATATAGTGTAAACTTTGAAATAATTATTTTCTATTATCTGATTTTATTTATAGTTTTGAATTAACTTTACAAATGACACTTATTTTTTTAAAATAACAACTTGTAACATCTTTTTCTTTTGTAGAGAATGGTATAAGAGAAACGTCATGCTGCTTTGGCCAGCATTTAAAGTTGCTCTGGAAAGATTTTTAAAAAGGCTACACACCTTACACATGCGAAAACTCAAATGAACAGCTTATTTTCATAGTCTTTTCCTCACCTTTTGATATTGCTCTGCTTTTTATTGTTAATAATTTTTCTTTATTTGTAAATAACCTCTATATGAGCACTTTATAAATTTAAAACATCTCCCAACAAAATCTTCTTTATTCTTTTCTTTATTGTGTTTGTTGTATGAACTTTTGATTATTATTAATAGTATTAGTACTTTTCTATAAAAACAATACAAATAAGGGAATAATAAATCCTGATGTGATTCAAATTATTACTTTATATATATATATATATATATATATATATAAACCACTTTACATATACACATCTTACAACCACTTGCTAACAATAATCAAACTGATACAACAATAAATTACCATAGGTTATCTGACAATTCTTCTAATGGAACCTTTTTCAATGAAGCCAAAAAAGAATATGGAAAAGCCCGAAAGAAAAATAGCCAACAAACCACCTGAAAAAATCAAACCTACCTGTAACTGCAGAGCAAATCATGAATGTCCCTTAAATGGCAATTGCTTGCAAAACTATATAATATACTAAGCCATTGTAAAATTGGCAGATAACAAAGAAAAATATACATAGGAGTAATTGAAGGACCCTGGAAACAGAAATTATGCACACAAAACATCCTTTTACAAATAGTAACTATGCAAACATCACAACCCTTTTCTAAATATATGGAAATTAAAAACAAAAAACAAATTACACATAAAATATGGAAAATAAAGAAAACATCATTCCACCTACAACAATAAATCCCAAAACTGTAAACTCTGTCTGGAGGAGAAAATATCTATAAACACCTTCCCAGTCCAACACAAATTATTAAATAAATGATCAGCAATTATCTGAAAATGCAGGCTCAAGAACAAATTTTTATTATGTCACTTAAAAACTAAAAACAAACACCTTTTGCAAAATGAAAAATTCAAATATTTGCACAGTGTATAATGTAGGTAATGTAACATACTTTAGAGATAGACAATACTTTACCCCAAATAAAATTGAAATAATATAAACAAAATATTTAAATAGTTAAAATTAAATAATCTATGATAAATAAATAAAACATTAACAGATAACACTATAAAATAGCTACAAACAAATGTATTAAGGTCTGCTATTATTTCTACTGAATAGCCTCTAGAATAATTACCGCCTCCCCAATAACCATTAGTATAAGACAATAGACCTTGCTATCCATAATATACTATTGATCAATATATATAAATAGTTGAGCCAACACACAATTCATATGGCCTGAAGATTGTTTTCAAGTAAGAAACAGACTATCACTGCTTGGTGCTGACCTCTGTGTTCACTTTTATATTTATATTTATATCCCTATAATATAGCATACCTTAAAACTATATTTTTATCATATATGTATTGTGTGTGTGTTTATAAAAAAGATTATCTAAAGTTTATAGATTCAAATTCTGACTCAAATGGCACATGGATTTAGTGAAAAATGTAAATCTAAACTGAATTTTGAGATTAAAATTTAATTCTATATTTAACTTACTTTATAATTATAAATAGGGAAGCAAAGTAACTTTGACAAAAAAACACTCCCTTTCTTGGTTAAAGAGAATAAAGTTCCTATCTATTTTAAGATCAAATCTTTGGTTTCTTCTTAGCTATTTCAGGTAATTCTTTATGGTTCTAGATATTGTTTGATATTCGTGTTGTTATTGAAATTCCTGAAGAGATATTTACTGAGATTAGCATCACTTAACACAGGCAACACTCAATTAAAAATTGTGAAGAGAGCACATTGTTTGCAGAAAATTAGTTGTCGGCTGCAAAATCAAATGGCACAAATAATGTCCTAGTATAGATTATGCATCATATTTTGATGATGGTTAAACAAGTGTCAACCATTTTCTTTGTAAGGAAGTTTTAGATTCAATTATTGATACTTTGTCACACACTTCCTTGACGTTAGTTTCCGGTCATTATTTGCAGATAAATCTTTTGCCTTTTACTTCCTTGACTTTATGGTTATGTGATATATTTTTTAGATATTCCAACATTTAATATATACAGTGTGATGTTAGAAAAGATAACTGCTTTTTCAGTGTTTTCTGTCCCTGATGACAAGTTTTGTAACAAATGTGATCATGAAATTTGGATAAAAATTGAACAATTAAAAAGTTTGTTTTTAATTGTTACTAAATTGTTCTGTATATTGAATGGAATTCTGTAATCTTATCTCTCTGCTGCCTGTTATAGACGAATGGATGCTGAAACAGTAGTGAATTTGCCATCCTAATACTTATAGCAAATATCAGATTGGCAATGATTTTAAAAACATGCAGCTTCTCTACTATTGAAAAATCATACCACTTTCATTTAGGTTTCAGTAAAAAAATTCTTGGCCTCTTTATTAGAGTCTACTGTTATCTCTTAGTGCTATAGTGAAACACTGTTTGGGGAAACAAGTCCACAGAGTATTTTTGAGCTTTTTGCTCTTGAAGGCAGTGAGAAATCACTAAGTTGAAATTTTCCAAATTGTCTTAGATTTTTTTTTATATATATATATATATATATATATATATATATATATATATAAATGTTGTTTTTAGTGGATACTCATATTTGAGTAGATGCCCCATTTATTTATTAACCAGTATATTTATTTATTTTCATCTACTGGCCTGAATATCCAAGAAATTTTATTAAAGAAAATGTCAAAGTGATAAAAATCTGCCAGATAAGTAAATATAAACCCATTACCTTAGAAAATTACTTTGTTTACATTTGAATACAAAACTGAGCAGATATAAGAATTTTGAGGAATATGAGAAGGAATTTGCTTAAAGGCATGTTTAAGACTTTGCTTGATTGGCAAGGCTGCTTCATGGCAATGATGGTTAAGGCATACCAGAGGGACATGGGTTCAAATCCTGCCAGATAGTGCATATTTTTCTTTAATAAGATTCCTTGAATATAGAGGAAAATAAAGATACAGTTTAATAAATAAATGGAGTGTCTAATCAAATATGATTATCCACTCAAAACAATGTGTAAATTAATATATATATTTTTGTCAGCTAGAAAATATCTAGCTTCATGTACTGAGTATGTTTCAGGCATTTGATAATCTTTCTTCAGAATAAGTGTAAACATACTGATTAACTCTATAATGACTTTGCTTTTGCACCCAACTTTTCAGTTGTGGTACAAATTCCAAACAATTTAACCTGGCTCGAAAGGATTCATTTTTCTGATGACAATTCTCTGTTCTATTAAAAGTAGGGATCTCTACTAAATAGCAATACCTAAAATTTAAATTGAATTTTTAAAAAGGAAAAAGCTTTCTTGAGGCTTTCATTTTAGCTTTAATGGAAAGCTAAAGGATTAAATTTTCTATTTTCATTAAGCAAAATACTCTGGTATATTTCAAGCAAAAATTATATTGATTGGAATCTATTTTTTTTTTCTAAAATAGCTGATGAGCACCCTTTTTAGTTGTCTTTCATCCCAATGTAATTCTCTGTATTAAAAAATCTTCCAAAAATAAAATATACTTTTCTGAATCTTTATTTGAGGAATATTAACTGATTTAAAGTATAATTAATCTGATTTGAAACAAATATTATTTACTTTAAAATAACACAGGAATGCATTTTTAAAACAAACAGAAGCTGCGTTTTGTTAACCGACAGTAGCCATGTTTACATGATTGATGAGTGTTGACAGGTGACGAAAAGGTGTTGACAGCTTTATTGTTGTTCATCAGAGACTTTATCACTAAAATATAATTTAAGAAAATGACGTGAGCGCCTTTTTATATAACTTTTAAGTAGTCAGTATTCTTAAAAATGTTGGAAAATAGTTTGCAATCTAATTTTAGGAATGTTGACTTCAAATTTACTATAGTCATTGCTCTTATTATCTGATAATGTTGTGTATGGTCGCCCATACTTTAAAAATTGGCACGTTTATACACATAAAAATTAAAAAAAATATTTAAAAAATATTGGTCGATAATGATTAATTGTAATTAGCTTTTCATGTTTTGATTAGTAAATATAGTTTTCACTTAACACAATTAAAGTGATGCAGAATTTTAAGAGATTTATATATAAATTATTATAATTAAAATTATATTTTTTTTTCATAAGTCCTTAATAAATCATATTCATAAAAGTAATTAAGAGCTTTTCTAATTAAATATTTTTTATTTTATATTATTTGGAGCAGATTTTCGGAAAATGAGTAGCAGTTTGAAAAAAATGTTGATTTACAATCTTCTAGAAGTCCTGCTTTTAACTAATAAAACAAATTTTGCAATTAAAATTTAATTTCTCGAAATTTCATGAAATTAAGTGTGTGCGTGTAACATATGTAAAAAAATATATTTCTACCAAAATTTTCAAAAATTAAAAATTTCAGTCATTTGTGAATTAGTCCTGAAAGTTTCATTAGAATCCGACAATTATTTGATTTTTGCAAGAATTTCCAAATCAATGTGTGTGTTTTTTACCGAAAAAATGGTGCTAAAACGCCAATAGTAAATATTAGGTTGATCGCTGATTTTTTTTAACTAAAAGGTTTTAAAAAATTTAATAAAAAATATTTGGTATTCTCTTTTAATAACATAAACATTTTGATGATGAAACTTCGTTTTTATTAAGTTTGGGACTTTTTTTATTATGCTGTGCTGTTTTTTTCAGCGAATTGGTGGCGGTTTCTAATTAAAAGGATCAACATCAAAGTAGACTTTATACCTGTAGCAAATAATAACAAAATTTCACAAAACCTGCATGAAATGTATTATGACTTCATAATGGGCCTTCAAAATAGATACCATGAATGTAGAAATAATTGATGCTGTTATAAACATGCGTATGGTAACATTAGAGGAGAAGCGAAATAACAAACAGTTACCGCTGGTGAGTCGAAAAGAAAAGAAGACAATAATTGTTAATATAAAATTCTTTGTATTGCCGATACAGTGGATGTGAGTGGAATTTCTCTTTGTGGGCAA